GGGCTCATATCAAAGCTAACGGGGCATGGGCTAGGTTGCAGGAAGCACTTCCCAGCTCTGAGTGTGGAATACAGGCTGCACAAAAGTGAGTGGAACTTCTTTCCTTGGGGATTTTGAGGTCCAGCAGAGCTCTTCTATTTATTATGGGAATGTGGGCTGGATGTGTTTCAAGAGCTAACTTAGTTGAAATCAAATTTTTGATTAACTGACCATTGGATTTGCCTTCTCCATCAGGCAGTGTTGGATCTGACATCCCTGTCTTCATAAGGGAAGTATTTGAAAATACTAAATCACTTATTTCAGAGCTAGAATGAACTTCCAAGATTATCTGGCCCCTTGCCTTCATTTTGCAAATGGGGAATGCAGCCCAGTAAGGAAAAGGCACATGGATGTGGTCACATAACCCTTAGGGGTAGAGCTGGACTTAAATACAGGTCTTCTCCCACCTCTCCTTAATAAATAGACATCAGAAATGCAAGTGGAAGTGCAAGGCTGTCCGGGGGATCAGGGAGCCCAGGGGTCTTTGCTGGACTCTGCACGAGTGTACAAGGCATTTCTACTCAGGACTTTCAGGGTCTTCCCCGGCAAAGTCTCTGGTACTGCTCCGCCATCACAGTCTTGCATCAGAAGAAAAGAGGCTGCTTCTCGCCCCTCAGGCAGCCCCAAGGTCTTAACTTAACCTGCGTAATTAGAACATCCATTCCAGAGGGGGAAACATTTAAAAGATAAAGGACCTCTTTAAAACAGATTCTTCCCCATACATTTTTTTCATAATTATAGTTTTAAAAGCTTACGGTGATGGGAGAGCTGGCTACTTAAGAAAAATTAGGAGTCTCATTTGGCAGGAGCAGATTCCCCAGGGGACAGCACACTGTCATTTTTCAGGGCCCCTGAAAAGAGCCCCCCACACAGACAGATACATGTCGGCCTGATGCATGGCAAGCCTGTTTCACTTCTTATGGCCAAAGCCAGATATTTTAATTAAAAACACTACATATGCCATTAAATGTGTTGTTCCCCCTGCAGTCCCAAGACGTTATAGTTCGAGGAGATACAAACAAGTGAATGCATTACAGATGTACACGGAAACCACCGCCTACTGAGTCACAACCAGCGGGTTCCCAAATTCCAGCCTCAGAGCGCCTCCCTGTCAAAATGTTCTTTGCAAGTAAACTGTTCCCTCTGTAATTTTCACCGTTTATAGCAGTTGCCATGATGAGAGAAGAGGACCATGGGGAGGCAGGGGAGAGAGAAACATGCTGCCACCTCACTTAATTTATAAGCAGATTCGATTGTTTTACAAATAATCTTCCTGATAAATAAAGTCCAATGGCCACACATAATCTTCCTGATAAATAAAGTCCAATGGCCACACATGGGATTGTGGGGTTGAATTTTTTTTTCCTTCCTTGTTACATTTATTTATTTATTTATTTATTTATTTATTTATTTATTTATTTATTTATTTATTTATTTATTTATTTAACACAGAAGTCCCATGTGAGGGAATGATCACCTCCCAACGTGAGCTCAGGTAGGATTCTCAACAGAGGCAACACTTGCTTAATTTAAGCAATTGTAGGTGGTGTGAGTTCAAAAATTTCAGCCGATTTTAACTGTCACTAGCCAGACCACCTTTCTCCCCAGGAGAACGTGAGCAGCTGGATTTCATTTTTGGCTGCCAGGCCGTCCCTGTGCCTTCCTGCAGCAGCCCGCAGACGGAGTGCCTTCCCTGTAAGGATTTTATTCAAGGTGACAGCGCCTCACACGTTGGCGCTCTGATCACCTCAAGTAGCCGAGATACCAGGGGGATGAGTGCACTCCTCCTGCAAAGTCCAAATTTAGATTGACTGAGGTTATCCTTAGGCCCCTTGACCCCAAGTGCTCTGACAGAACAGGGCTGCCAGGAACTTAGAGCAGCGAGTTCTGTCATGATGTCTGGGGAGAAATGCTCTGCAGGAGCGGGTGGAGAAGAACCCAAGTGATAGGGAGTGATGTCAGCTTTCGTTAGAGCGGCAGACAATGTTAGAATATCCTTGGCATAATATGGCACTGGTATCTCTGTCAGCATCTCTGTTTTCTGTCACCGCACACAATCCTGGGCCTGTCTCTAGCCCTGACAGTGTCTCTTCAGATCAGGTTATTGCCAGCACAGAGACTAGATCTGCTCCCCACCATACAGCCCTTTGTTTGAAGTCTGCCCTTTTGTCATCAATGCACTTGATGCCTATTTAAATCTGACGGTGAGTATGGTATCTGTTTTCCCGTCAAGAGATCATTGACAATATTAATACCTCATGTCCTTGCCTCATTCTCTAAGCTCTGACACCTCGCCAGTCTCCTGCATTCATCAAACAGCCCTCTCTCACCAGGACGTCTATAAACATTCTCGCTTCCAGGCCCCAAGGAACAGGGAAAGCCTTAAAAAGGACTTTCATCAGTGCCGACCAGAAAGAAGGCCTGGGGAACAGGGCTCAGAACACTTCACCTCCCTCCCTCCACATTCCAGCCCACGTTCCAGGAGTAGCCAGCTTGTTTCCAGGATGGCACTTGCCGTCCAGGTTGTATCTAGGCAAGGTCTGGAGTTGACGGTTACCAAGGAAAGAGGATAGAGTAAAGAAATTCAGTCCCTGAACAGACTGGAGGGTTTACTGGAGAGAATGCACCCACTAGTGGGTGGTGTGTGTGTGTGTGTGTGTGTGTGTGTGTGCGCGCGCATGTCTGCCTTTCATTCTTTTACTCAAGAGAAAGACTGTGTTCTTTATGACATCTGACAGCCCTATCCATTTCTTTTTATAAAAATTCATGCTGGGGGCGCCTGGGTGGCTCAGTTGGTTAGGCGACTGCCTTCGGCTCAGGTCATGATCCTGGAGTCCCGGGATCGAGTCCCGCATCGGGCTCCCTGCTCGGCGGGGAGTCTGCTTCTCCCTCTGACCCTCCTCCCTCTCATGCTCTCTGTCTCTCATTGTCTCTCTCGCAAATAAATAAAAAAAAAAAATCTTAAAAAAAAAAATTCATGCTGTCCTGGGGTTGTAGAAAGAAATTAACATCCCTTGGCCTCATCCTTCCAGATTTTTGAGGGTTTATTTGAGTCAGTTATGCTCAAGGAAGCCCTTTGTGGATTTGCAGAAACATCTGAGACACTCGCACCCAGGCCTGTATGGGATACTGTTCCTGGAACAGAACCTGACCAGCCAAGCCTGACCAACAGGCCAGCTCCCAGGGTTGGTAACGATGTTAGAACAACCACAGGTGCTACATGATACAGGACAATAAAGGGAGCGGCTCGGTGCTGCCAACAGCCAAAGGAATCATTTTTAGCTCCAGGAAGGGTCTCAAGGAGGTCTTTTCCAAGCTCGATGTTTCCAAGCACCTATGAAGTGTAGAAACTCGGGATTGGGGCCAAGGAGAAAACATGGCTAAAGGGGGAGGATTGGTCTGCAGTAAACTTGTTCATGGAAACGTGATAAACAGAAGTAATGAGAGCACCAAGACCAGCCTGAGGCCATGAGACAATGTCATCCTCGCCCTTTTGCCAACTCGCAAGAGATTCTGTGACCCCAGGAATTCCCAACTTTGTCCCAGGCCATCCAAACCGGGGAGCATCTGCCCTGTCCTTAAAAGTTTCTAAGAGCCATTTTTAATCCTTCATTAAGAATAATATTTAAAGTTCTGTTGTAGAGAATCATCTCTTGTAGAATCACCAAAATATTTACTTAGAACTTCTGCTGTGAAGAACCTGGATAATTTCAAGTACTAATTTACCCCAAATGAGCAATAGATGGTGATTGTTGGTTTCACACTAACAAACTGACAGAAAAAAAATAATCATGCATACAGGCAGCTATTTTTACAGGTAGATTTTTGGCTCATGAATTAACGTTTTATAGACACTTCTTTGCTTTTTTCTGGTTATGCACACTTCAGAGACTCAAGTACTTTTAGTAATAAGACAACTCTGTGAAGCTGAATTTTAAGTTACTTTTTCTAAGATTAGAAGAAAAATATGGCAAAAAGCAAACTGTAATTATAAATATTTTCTTTGAGAAAAACTGATTTACCCTTACTGATCATACAAAGCTTTCATAATAACTATGGCAGGTGATCTCTTATGGATATTTAGAATAAATATTGAGTTGGTTAAATGATTTGATCCTACTCTAGAGGTATCTTTCATACTTAAACTCTCCTACAATCTCCTTGAATGAAACAAAAACTGTATGTGGAGTCACAAAATTATTTAAAATAAAACTAAAGATGAAAATCAATGGCATTCCAACCTGAGAATTCATCTCAGCCCTTTTGGGGTACCTGGGTGGCTTGGTCAGTTAAGCGTCCAACTCCTCTTGATTTCAGCTCAGGTCTTGATCTCAGGGTCATGGGTCCAAGCCCTGTGTTGGGTTCCATGCTGGACATGAAGCCAACCTAAAAAAAAAGGGAAGAAGAAGCCCTTTAATGCTGGAGGCTCTTGTTAATTTCCATGTGGCATTTTGTCAACACCACCACTGTTCCTTGATCACCCAGATGTGTTTGATGCCTCCTGAGATTTGGAAGATTCTCCCTGGAAGGTCATAATATTGATTCATGACAAAGGACTTGAAAAGAGTCACATTCTGGGAAGATTGTTTTACATCTTTTGCTTGGGTAGGACCCATCTTGAAAGTCTTAATTTTCCATTTTTAGAAACTCTACTGAGGGAACCTAGAGAAAGGGTTATGCTTTATTTTAAGGTGTACTAGGCCAAACTAGAGAAGTCTCTGAAAGGTGGAAGAGAATTTGTGCAGGAAACACGTTATTCCTAGAAGCCTGTGCTCTGGTGACATTTTATGTGAGTGTCAACTCTGAGGACAAGGAAGTAGGGTCCTTCCTTCTCGGGGCTGACTCCCTGTGCTGCCACCCACTGGATCCGTGACCCTGTTGCCTGTCTGCTTTTCTGCACCTGTGCCTCCTTGCTGTACTGATCGTGCCACCTCTGAAGATGTGTTTGCTTTTCTTTGCAGGTGTCCTGGGGAAGTGCCACTATGTTTACTACGGGAAAAACTCAGAGGGCAACAGGTTTATCCGAGACGACCAGCTCTGATGGCAAGTTCTGTATGCTTTAGCCTGTGTCATGAGAATAAAAGAAAAAGGGCAAGTAAAAATAAAGAAAAAGCTGAAGGAAAAAACAATGGCCCACACTGCATCTCTGTGGGAAGGCTATGACTTCCGCTTTTGGTAACTTCTGCTGACTTTGCCAGGCCTGTCAAGATCATCCTTTTGCCTTAGACTGAGTGGTCACATAGAGATTGACATGATTGCCCTTAAGCAGGTCTCATCCACTAGGGTGACAGACAGTGGCAGCAAAGCACCAGGGCTGACAGGAGGAACACCATGATAGATTGCCTGGCCCCTCCACAGCTCACAGGGGAACAGAGGTCACACCTGGGGCCTCCCTGAGCATGCTCACTGGCTGTAGTCAAACAAGAGAGACTGTGTCTTCAGCTTGTCTATTGAGTAGAGAGCCCTCTGATACCATTGTGCTGTGGGTTGATTTTTAGTGAAATAGTCACAGTTTAGAGGAAGGCTACCCTCCCTTATTCACCTTAAATTTTAATCCCTTCTATTCTGCACAGCCGCCCCCACCCCCTCCACAACATAGACCATCCTTTAGCATCTTTCTTTGTTGCAGGCAGTGCATTCTGGTTTGCAGTTTTTCAGAGAACGGAAGGTATAAGTTCTCAGCCAGGTCAGACATTTATGGCTGGCTTTGTGTTGTTACACTTCCCGTATTGGAGTAAATAGCTTTCCCTAAATCCCTAACTCAAAAGCGTAGACTCGATCTCATTTTGTATATTTCTAAATCCACTTCTTGCCCTGAATAGTAGGCAATGTAAGGCATCTTTCCCAGCACCAAGCGCTGGTTGCACCGAGGACTCTGATTTATTTAAGTATGTATGTTTGTATTTATTTATTTATTTATTTATGCATAATTAT